ACGTATTAACAAAAAATTAAACAAAATGAAAAAAAATGAAAAAAAAGAATTACAACTTTCAACCTTAATGAAATGACAATATTTTGAAATTATAATAGTATATAGATAAATCATGGAATATATCATTATTTAAAACTTATGTATTGCGGGATAAATGATTATAATTTTAAATTTAAATTAATAAAATACTTTCCATATTTAGTGCCGCTCAAATTTGAATTTTGAAATGGATTGGTGTACTTTCTATATTTTTTTTTATATATTTGATATACTTTCCATTTGAAAGTCATAAATTAAGAGATATTAATTAATTAATTAATTAATTAATTAATATTATTATTTATTTATTTTTCTTGAATGAAAGCTATAGAGGATTTTTTAATTATTTAAAATCAAAAAATTAGAAATTTTGGTTTGAAATATTGAAACTCCCACAAGACTTGTGGTTACAAACCCCATTTTACTTATGTAATATATATATATATAGATAGATTTAATAAGAATTTATATTTGTTTTAGATATTTTTTTAATATACAAATTATTTTTTAAATTTTTTTTATAAAAATAATTTAACAATTCCATCAATAACCATAGCGTATGAGAGAAATTAAAAAGGGTGTAGGCGTAGGTATGAAAGAAGTCAAAAAGGTTTGTGGGTTGGGAGAAGTAAACAAATGTTGAGGTTTTTTTTTTTAAAAATAAAAAATTTAAAAAATTAAGATTGGTTTATAAAAATAATTTAACAATTCCATTAATAACCATAGTGTATAGGAGAAGTTGAAAAGGGTGTAATTTTGCTTGAATGAAAGCTATAGAGGATTTTTTTAATTATTTAAAATAAAAAAATTAGAAATTTTAGTTTGAGATATTGAAGCTACCACAAGACTTGTGGTTATAAACCCCATTTTACTTATATATGTACTAGCATATCACCCGTGCTATGCACTGATTGGGTTTACAATTATCTATATATGTGAATTGCGATTTTTAAATGTCTTCTGTTTTTTTTTTTGTTTTTTTCCTTTTTTATATTATATTAAAGTCTAATATTTTGATAATAATCATATGTGTTAGACTTTTCAAGGAATTAAATGTCTTTTTTTTATTATTATATTATATTAAAGTTTAATATTTTGATAATAATCATACTAGCATATCACCTGTGCTATGCACGAATTGAATTTACAATCATCTATATATGTGAATTGTGATTTTTAAATATATATATATACATATATATTTCAGAGGCCTTCTTTTTTTCTTTTTTTATATTATATTAAAGTTTAATATTTTGATAATAATCATATGTGTTGGACTTTTCAAGGAATTAAATGTCTTTTTTTTATTATATTATATTAAAGCTTAATATTTTGATAATAATTATATGTGTTGGACTTTTCAAGAAAATTTTTTTATGCTTTTTCTTAATGCATTAAAGTGCTATTATGAGGGATAATAATCATATGTGGCAGGACTTTTCAAGGAATTCATATGTGTTGGATTTCAAACAATTTTTTTTTTATCCTGTTTTTAATGCATTAAAGTGTTATTATGAGGGTAAGACTTGGGAGTTGGGAGAAGTTAATAATTGTTAAGATGTTTTTTTTTTTAAATCAAAAAATCAAGAAATTTAGATTGGGAGATTGAAACTCCCACAAGGCTTGGGGTTAAAAGCCCCCTTTTGCTTAATATATAGTATAGATGTGTTGGACTTTTCAAGAAATTTTTTTTATACTTGTTCTTAATGCATTAAAGTGCTATTATGATGGATAATAATCATATGTGTTGAGACCTTTCAAGGAATTCATGTGTTGGATTTGAAAGAATTTTTTATGTTTGTTCTTAATGCATTAAAGAGTTATTATGAGGGTAAGACTTGGGGGTTGAGAGAAGTTAATAAATGCTAAGGTCTTTTTTTTTTAAATAAAAAAAAATCAAGAAATTTAGATTGAGAGATTGGAGCTCCCACATGGCTTGGGGTTAAAAACCTCATTTTGCTTAATATATAGGATAGATAGATAGATAGATATATCTTTTTATTCTTATTTTTATTTTTGTGTGGTTTCTATTCGGGTATTTTTTTTTTCAATTTATTTAAGATGGAGTTGTGGGTATCTTTTTTTTTTTAAATTTAATTTATCTGTGATTCTCATTTGTTTTTTATTATTATTATTTAGGTAAGTTATGATGTGAGTTAGATATGTGATATTTAAAGTTTATTCAGATAAGATTTAAAGTTTATTTAGATAAACTTTAAAGATTTTTTTTTAGTTTTTTTTGTTATGTTATAATATAATATATAAAATCTAGGTAGATATCTACAACTTTAATAAAAATTATTATATGATTTTTTGGGGAAGAGAAAAAGAATTCAAGTTTTAATATTTTTTTTTTTTGAAAATTTGTGAGAGAGATTAGGAGGGAGAGATTATGAAATATTTTTGTTATTAAATAAATAAATGAGTCAATAGTTTTTTAATCTATTTTGTAAATTAAAAATCAATAATTTTGGAAATTTGATTAATTTTTCCCATTAAGTGATTTAAAATTTTGATAGACATACATAAAAAAAATACATAATTATTCGGGTAATTTTTTTTTCAATTTATTTAAGATGGAGTTGTGGGTATCTTTTTTTTAAAAAATTTAATGTATATGTGGTTTTCATTTGTTTTTAATTGTTATTATTTAGGTAAGTTATGATGTGAGTTAGATATGTGATAGACATGTGAGTTTTATTGATTTAAAGTTTATTTAGATAAACTTTAACAAAAAAATTAGTTTTTTAGTTTTTTTTGTTATGTTATAATATAATATATAAAATATAGGCAGATATCTACAACATTAATAAAAATTATTATCTGATTTTTTGGGGAAGAGAAAAAGAATGCAGGTTTTAATATTTTTTTTTGAAAATTTGTGAGAGAGATTAGGAGGGAGAGATTACGAAATATTTTTGTTATTAAATAAATAAATCGGTCAATAGTTTTTTTTAATCTATTTTGTAAATTAAAAATCAATAATTTTGAAAAATTGATTAATTTTTCCCATTAAGTGATTTAAAATTTTGATAGATATACAAAAAAAAATACATAATTATATTATTAACTCATAATTCAAATTTAGATGTTATATCTTTTGGAGATTTATAACTAAATTCTTATTTTTTTTTTCTTTTTTTTTTTGTGTAACCATAGTGTGTGGGAGAAATTGAAAAGGGTGTTGCAATAATTATGAGAGAAGTCAAAAGAGATTGTCGGTTGGGAGAAGTCAATAAATGCTGAGGTTGGGTCAGGATTAAATCAAAAATTTAGAAAATTAGGATTAGGAGATTGGAGCTCCCACAGGTC